GGTAAAACACTGTGATGAAACACTCTGATTCTTGTCAATGCATTTCAAATGTTACGAATTCAGTACCTGAATGAATTCTGAGTTATCAAATTAATGTATACATAAATTCAGCAGCTAGTCTCTACCAGTTGCTATTGGTATTGTGAATGACCACTGCGAATGCATGTCTGATTCTGTGAAATACCTATTGACTTGTAATGAAATCACGAGTTCAGGTTACGAAATATTTTTACCAAACAATTATGTCCATTTTTCATGTGCATGTCAATTGTGTTTTGCTTTCATCTCCAATGTTAAAAATAAGTACAATCTTGCATGTTATATATATTTTTTTAGTATTGTCAAACACTTGAGTCAAACAAGTGAAAATAATTTTACATATTTTACTAGTCTAGTAATAATAATGTGCATAATTACAATAAAATATGTATGTGGTTACAACATAACTCTGTGCAAGTGCACATGGGTCGGTAACTACTCCTACCAGTGTACTACTGATTGAAGATGCACAATACCCTTATCATACTTAAGTGTCCATGATCGGAATCAAAAACTTTTATTTTGTTTCTCTGTGTACGTTTTGTTGTTCATTCATGTACATTTAAAAAAAATGCCTATTGTTTGTAAAGCGTAGCATGGCTTCGTTTACCTCTACTACAACTTCTAGTACATGGCCACGAATGTGTGCCTGTGGACATGGCCCTTGTGTTGTTAAGATTTCCAGGTCCACCAAAAATCCAGAGCATCCCTACTTTGCATGTCCCCGCCCTTTGGTGAGTGACCCACTCTTTTAGGTCATAACTGTCCTTCTTTAACAACCCATGAAACTAATAGTTCCATAATTTGCACTCATCAGCCCTGTGTCAGTTGGATTGGTTGGTGCGATGAACCCAGGCGAGATAACCAAGACTATGCGTCACCCAGGGATGAATTTGTCATGCAATTGCGGGCTGATGTCATAGACATTCAACAATCCTTGCGTGTCCTTAAGACCATCGTGTATGTGCTATGCATTGTCGTTGTCGTTTTGTTGTTCCGTATGTAAGCAACGTTACGATGTTTCAGTATGTACAAACACGTTACTATGTTGGTAGTTTATTGGTAGTATGTACAATAGTATGTACAAAAACGTTACTATGTTGGTAGTTTCGAAACGGTAGACGTATTAATGACTATCATAACTATGTGCAATACTAACTTCTATGGAACCTGCGGTAGTATAAAATTAATGTGCAATGGTTATATATTGAGTAATTTAGCATCCTTTCTCTCTGTTTCTTTGTTATTAATGTGTAATGGCTTATGAGTTTGTATATAACAACCGTTTGTGTGATGGTAATCTTTTGTAACCGAACATTAGTAATGGCTTCCATACGTACTTCTCCGCGTACCCAGTCCAAAAGCAAAGGCGTTGTCACTGACAAGTCAAGCAGTCTTGAAGATACACACAATCATTTAAGCCACAAGGCCACATGGGACAGTGCCTCAATCCGAGTTTTCCTACAATTGATTGCGAATAAGATAACTAAAGGCAATCGCCCATTCCTAGTCCTCAACCAAGCAGGGTACAAGTCCTTGGCAAGAAAATTTGAGAGAAAAACAGGAAGAAAACATGGACTCAAACAGTTGAAGAATAAGTACATGCGTTTGAAAAAAGAGTGGCAAGCGTGGACAAAGTTGATGGATTCAAGCAAAGGAGTGTCAGGGATAGGGTTTGACTGTGACACTGGTATGTTTCAGGCACCTGAGGAGTGGTGGGACAAAATGGAATCGGTAAGTACATGTACTCTTATATTTCATATGTGTCATTTACCAGTATATTTTTAACTTTTGTAGTTAAATTTTAATTAATTATATGGAATGTAACATGATTCTCTTTCATATATCTCTATTTGAACAGATAAACAAGGTGTGTGCCAAGTTTAGAAAAAAAAAACCTTGGAACATCGTGAGTTGATGGAGACCGTCCTCATGGGGGCATCAGCTACTGAGAAGCACCATTGGACCCCGGGCGAGGAACTTCCTGAAGCTGCTAATGACTCATCTGATTCAGTGCACAGTTTGGAGGCCCAGCCATTTGCTGATCCGATACCCGCAGGAGTACAGGACGTGGATTCAGATTCTTCACTGGAGCATGTTTCGATTGAAAAGGGGAAAAAGAGAAAGACGCCATCAAGCAGTGTTTCAAAGTCCAAGAAGGCAACAAGTGGAGCCTCAATTATTGCGGAAAGCATGAACACTCTGACAGATGTGGTGCGTACGAAGAATCAGCAGGTAACGGTGAGGCACCTCACAAGCAACGAATCGTTGTTTACTATTTCGGAGTGCATGCATCGCCTGACAGGTATTACATCGTTGGTTGGTACGCCGTTATTCCACTTCGCCACATCACTTATGGATAACGCCGATTTGTGGGAGGTGATGATGTGCCAGCCTGATGACGACTCGATCATAGAGTGGCTTACCCAGAAGCAGCTCCAGTGTACTGCGTCGGCGCCTTTTGCAAATCTGTTCGAGGCTCGCCGGATGTGATGTAGCGGTGTTACGAGTGTTGAATATGCCTTTCCTTCTCTTGCATTCTAAAAACTTTTACTTATGTTTTTTGTTGGCACTGTATTAAAACAGGATGGTTGCCTGTGCATGTTTTTTTTTTCCCTTCGTTTTTGTGTTTTCTTGCTACCTATGGTTTCCAAAACTTTTAGTTCAGTGCATGGGTTGACACAATGGAAGCATTGTTGTGCACACTTTCTGAGACATGAATGGGATGCTTCTCTTCAAATTAAATGTATGCATATTTTGCAGAATTGGGTACAACGGATTTGCTTGCTAGCTTTGTGTATGTTTATATTTTCCAAAGTGCGATGTTAGTTTCATATTAGACGTCAACTTTTGTGGTTGTCACCACAATGGTCCCCCTGTATGACAAAAGTTTAGCAGGTTCAAGTTTTTTCCATTTTGCATATCATTATGCGTTAAAAAATACATTGGTAACGGCAGTCCTTAAATTGGGTTGTCAACATTTCGAATTTTGTAATTGCAAATTTTGAAATTAATTGACTCGATGAAGGGGAAGCAAACTGATTGAAACAGTGCCACTCTTGTAGGTTTCGCATCAACGAAGACGTAATAAATCCCTGGGATGGAAGCTACAATGACGGAATAACTGAAATGCTTAATCAAATGGCAGTCCAGGTGCAACAAGAACACAACTGCACATTTCTACAAGTATGCCAGTATGCAACAGAGTGGTACCAAAAACACATGGCTAAAACGCCATGTCGCACTTCTATACTGACTGAGAATGCATGGATATCCGAACTATATGCTGGCCATATGGACCGATTTGAGGAAAACGTGTCCATGCCGAAGGAAGTTTTTCTTGCCCTGTGTGAAACATTAGTAAATGATTTTGGGTTACAAGTCCCGCAACGTCTACATGGTTTAGCTGTTGAAGAAAGCGTTGCAATGTTTATCCATGTGTTGAAAGGGAAGCAAAATCGGGAAATCCAAGAACGGTTCCAACATTCGGGGGAGACTGTGTCTCGGCACGTGCATAACATATTAACTTCCATGAAGCAGTTCGCTGTTGTTCATTGCCGGCCCACATACAATTAGCATCATATACATCCATACGTGCGGTCTAGACGGAAATACCTACCGTTCAAGGTACTACCGAAATACATTATTCACATATACATAAAGTGTGTCTGTTATTTTGTTTTTATTACTAACTGAACGTGACGTATGGAAAAAACAAAACATCGTATATTTTTTTAAGCAACAAAAGAATTGGGTTGTTTGCAGGACTGCATTGGCGCAATAGACGGAACACATGTAAGTGCATGGGTTACGGGGCCAGATGCAGCAACATATTTCGGTAGGAAATATTGTCACACGCAAAATGCCGCAGTCAATTTTGATATGTGTTTCATATTCATTTCGTGCAGATGGGAAGGAAGTATGCATGATAGTCGCATATTCAACGAGATACTAACTAATGACAATGTCCCATTTCTACATCCTGACGAAGGTAACACATGCCGATGTTTGTGGATTTAGGGGGTTCTCTGTACAAATTTTAGGTGTCATACATTGTTGTCATGTCTGCAGGCAAATATTATCTTGTCGATTCTGGTTATCCAAACCGAACAGGGTACTTCGCACCATTCAAAGGCCACCGTTACCACCAACAAGAATTTCGACGTATTGCACGGAACAGGACGGCAAACACGCCAAGGGAATTATTTAACAAAGTGCACTCGTCCTTACGCAGTGTGGTGGAACGCACCTTCGGTGCCTGGAAAAATCGATGGGGGTTTATTCGAGACATGCCTCGGTATGACTTTGCAAATGTACACGTTCAGTTAGTAGGTGTGTCAATGGCATTACATAATTATATACGACGCAACACAGGTAATCCAACAACTGTTCACCCAATCTGTGACGAGGAAGAGGCTATGACAATAGTAAATGCCATACCAGAAGTTGAACATGACGAGGATGGTTTAATGGTTTGGGGATGAGGACCCACATATGGCATTGGTGCGCCTTCACATACGCGACAAATTATGTTACATGCGTAATAACGGAATGTTAGGAAATATATAATAGTCAACCTAATTTTCGTAGGGTTGTAACATTACTAATGACACACATGGAACAGACTGTATTGAAATATATTATTATGTACAATATGTATGTGTTTACACGGGAATATACCCCCTTCCAGTTGGTGACGTGCCGCACTCTGAAAAATCAAAATTCACAAGATTGGAAATGCTTAATCCATTTTTTTAAAATATAAAATAAAAAGTTAATGTGAGTGAATAAGAAAATGACAAAATTGTCAATTTTAAAAAAAAAAAAAACAAAAAAAATACGCCTCATTCAAAAACATTTTAAAAAAAAACATGAAAACATAAATCATCATTCGCCACGTAATTTACAAATAAATGAAACACATAAATAACAAAAACAAGTGCTTCTATACCAATAAAAATAAAGAAAAAGAACTAATTCATGTAAAAAGAAAAAAACAAAGACAAAAACATAAATTTAAAAAAAAAAAAAAAATTGGCAAAATACGCCAAATCCAAACCCAAAATAAAAAAATTAAAACAAAAAAAAAACAATGAAAGCAAAAAATGCCAAATCCACTTCCAAAATTAAAAAAAAAAATGTTAGAAAAACAGACCAAATCCAAACCAAAAAAAAAATTAAAAAAAGCAAAATACGGCAAATCAAAACCCAAAATAAAAAAAATTAAAAAAAACAATTAAGCAAAAAACACCACATCCAAACCCAAAATGAAAATAAAGAAATAAATAAATAAATTAAGCAAAATATGGGAAATCCAAATCCAAAATAAAAAATAAAAATAAAAAAGCCAAAAAGGGCAGTTTGGTAATTTAACAAGATGACACCTCACCAAAAAGTCAAAAAGTCAAAAAAGCCAAAAAGTCCTTCCCAAACCAGGCTTTTTGAGCCCCAGGCTCATATAGCCAAAAAAGCCAAAAAGCCAAAAAGTCAACCCACTTTTCAAACGGAGGCTAATTTTATTATTGTATAGGAAAGTAGTTAAATTTTTTATTTTTTTATTAATTTTATTAATTAAAATTTTTTAATCAAGAAATATTTGTAATTTTTAGAACTATAAGGACAATCGATATTTTAAACAAATCTTGTGTATTTGTAATTTGCCCTACGGATTAATAGCATACACATATTCTTAAGATATACTTCATGCCGCCGGTAATTGTTTACTAGTAGACTGATGTCTATTGACATCAATTTGCACGGCTATGCTCATTATTTACAAACAAACTGTTTTCTACTTCAAAAATTGTCAAATGTTCACGTTACTTTCCCTTTAATTACTGCATAGGGGATGACGGTGACAATGACTTTTGACTTTTATGATGCCTTTGACGATGATGACGATGGTGAATATTAGCAATGTTGTCGAGTATTAGTAACGACAGATTGTCAACTCTTCATAAAATATATATATATATATATATATATGTACCTTATTGGTACACAAAAAAAATTGCCATTGTACAAAAAAATTATTCCATCAGGAATGATTGTCAATATTAACAAATTTGTAATTTTTTTGCTCTACATGTGTGTTTGTGTATAACTCAATGAAGCTTCTGTTTTGTCCTTAATTCAGCTACCCGGGGTTTATCAAATCATGATGACTGCTTAAGGTGGAAAGCCCATTCCTTAGGTCAGTTCTCTGTGTCTTCAGTTTATAATAGGAGTGTGCCCTCTTCTCATATATAGTGTTTTAGCAACTGATTCACTAGATAGAATAATCCTCCTAATTAAAGCTCAATTTTTTGGGTGGCTAGCATGGAAATGGAGAGTGAAAACTTCTCATCGTGCAAAGGATTAGTGTGCTAGGAGGGAATGTTAGAACTATCTGTGGTTTCTGCGTTTCAGAGATGGAAACTGTTAATCTTTGTTAATGTTGTGTCCGCTAGTATGGAGAGTGGGGGGGATTCAGTGGGCAATGCCTGATTTGGTGGAAGGGTTGCTAAACTGTTGGACTAGTTTCAGATTTAAAAGGCTGGAAATGAATATTTGGAAAGCCATGCCATTAACAATGCTCTGGCCAATATGGAAACATAGTATTTGGAATGGGTTAAGTATAACTCAGTTGGGGTGCCTTATTCTGTCATGATTTTATCTCAAATTTAAGTCAAATTCACTTCTCTTCTCACAGCAATTTGAGAGCTTTGGGTGTATAGGTTTTGATTTTGTGTAGTCAAAATCTTATTTTGGTTTCGTTTGGTGGTGTTTTTTGGTTCTGGAATGCTCTACTGGTGTTTTTATGGGATTTGAAGACCTATGGCTGCTTTTCACTTATATTCGTGTGCAATGCTGGTGGTTGCTTGTTCTCTTGGGTATGAACTTGTGTTTAGGATTTGAAGCGTTTTTGTTCTTTTGATGATTTGGTGGTTGTTTAGTGGCTGTTTGGGCTGCTGTTATTTTTGTTGTTGTTTGTTTGTGTGTTTGTTTTCGGTTGGTTCCTCACCAACATAATACTAGCAGATGATTGACTCGTTCTTCTAGAAAAATTATATAATATTCTCGAAATATCACATATTCTTTAATCAATCATCATTTATTATGTTTCTCATATTCATCAATAACTCAACACAATACTCCACCTATCCAATAGATTTTCACATGTCTATACTCCGAGATTAGTGAATAATTATCTTTTATTGTACCAACTTAATTGGGATTGATTAGTTTTATTTTGATGCTTTGTACACTTGCCTTCCTTTATTGATGTTGCCTCATATTTATTACTTTCATCAATGCAGCTTCTCATAAAAAAAATTTGAAGGTTCTTGAAATCCAAATGTAGGTTGATTGATGATGAGTAATAGGTGATGTACTTTCAATTAGGAATGAGCTTTTGTCTAGTTAGGAAGTTAAAATTGGGACTTGATGGATTCATCTTAGCCTCAATCATTCGTTTTGTAAACATTAACATATTATCTTGGTCAAAAAATAAA